TCTGCTGTAAGAAGTATGTTTGCATATAACCAAACATACCAACAGCATATCAGTTGGAGGTAAGAGTGAATCACAGCTATCTACAGCATGAATGTGCTTGATGGTGAACAAAACCCAGGAAGAAAGTTTTGACCTCCGCAGCTCCTTTTAATCTATTAAAAAGTTCCGATAATTAGTTCCCTGCGACCAAATAAGGCATTCAAACGCGTAAAAGAGAAAATTTCGCGCGACTAATACGTGTGAACGCATTAGAAGAACAAAAAATGGTCTGAAAGTCGCACGTCGAAAATAGTGCTCGAAGACTTATCATGCGTTAAATCACCATCTGAGGCCAAAAATGTGTCCGAACGCATTATTTTGTCTAAAAATGGACAAAACTAAGCGTTCGGAAGCCTTAGAATGTGTCGAAAGAAGGTTTTCGAAACCTGTGGATATTAGTTCCCATCAGAAAATCCGAGGGCGTTAAAATGAAGGTTTTTAATGCATTTGAAGGAGTGCAATGTAATTACGAACGTCTTTACATACATTAGAAAAGTTGTCCAACGCACACAGACAGTGAATATTTGTCATGCCTTTGCACGCATTCCACATCTTAATGCGTGGTTTAATTGTGAACGTCTTCGGCTATATTAAAAAATGGAACATATATAAACAATGAATGTTTTTTAGTCCATTTCAAGACATTCTAACCTTTTTATGCGTTAGAAAGAATGCGGTAATGGGTCTAATATTTTCGTCCAGTACTATACTTCTTTTCTTTTCAACTATTCTCCAAAGTTTTCCCATATTTTAAATGACTTTTGCTTCTCTGCAATGACCATACAGTAGCTATTTGCTTGAGGATGAAAACTATTCATAGTAATCTGGGCTGGCGCTTGTAAAAGTGTTGCAGCCCTTCGAACTGCGTAATGCGTACGAAGAAGTTCGCGATATGATAGCTAAGGCGTTCACACTTATTGAAGAACAAAATAGGCGAAATAATGAGTTTAAGTGCCTATCAAAAATTGGAACGAATTAACATACTTTGATTTTTAACGCATTCCCATGCATTAAATGACGACGACGGCAAACAATTCTTTACATGCCCTGGAAGCCTTAACTTCAGCAAACACGTTAAGAATATTAATTCTACTAATGCATTTTACTTGATGAATGAATTTGAATAAATTGAAAAATGGGAAGGCGTTCGAACTCCTTATTTTTTAACGCCTGAGAAGCGTTAGAGCTCCAAAAGTTTTATAAAGACGTAATACTGCATTAAAACTTTCACATACATTATAAGCAAAAAAACATTATATAAAAACACATTATAGCAAAACAATTGAAAATCTAGAGAAAAGTCTAAAAATCAGGAGTCTTCCGGTCAAATCAGAAGATTCGGCAATCCTGGTCCTACCATTATTCTAGAACTGCCAAACACCCTACAGATAGATGATTTTGCTGATAGTGACAACTGAATACATAATCAAGAAACATATGATTATTATAGAAAAAAATTTAATTAAAAACAGTTTGCTGTTACTTGAGCACTAACAAAAATTGATTAACTGCAATATAAGAAAAGGCTGAAACGACGAATGAAATACTTGAAGTACCACACCAATCTTTCTGGATCGATGGGTTTTTCCTACTAGAAGTACACAATGAAATTTTTGTTGTTAATCAAGTACCTCTTTGTAAATGGCACCTTTTGAGAATGTAGAAGATTATCTTTGTTCTTTCGCTGAATGGTCTCGTGTCTAAATTGCACCACTGTTTATATTTGATTCAATGGCTGAAACAGCTTTTGTAACAAAACCACGATTCTGAAGCATTTCAATACCACAATGAGCAGTTTTCAAATGTGTTTGATTATATCCACATAACCGTTTAACATTATTAGGATTTCCAATCTCTTGAATAGTCGAATTACCATGTAATTTGAAACTCTTTTGACGCATATACTGACCTGTTAACAAAAAAGCAATTTATATTTTGTACATAAAGAACCCATGAGTGTAAATGTCTCTCAGAAAAACCCATCAATTATTGATTTGTTGAGAAGTAACAGCAAAGCGTTTTTGCTTGCGTCATTCGATAGCATAGCATTGTTATTATTTCCATTCAGAGATGGGCAAGTCCGGTACTTTTCCAGTCCCAGTCTAGTCCCAGTCCACTAGAGGCTAAGTCCGAATCAGTCCCAGTCCGTGACGAGTTAAAATTTTCCAGTCCCAGTCCGCTAAGCTCAACAAAAAACATTTCAAGTATTTTTCTGTTTGATGTTAAATTATCCTTATTAGAAGTCATTATGTCTGAACGTAACGTTGAGAAAATTAGAATTTCCAGTGCAGAAAGGCAGACGGGCATTTAGTGCAAAGAAACCAATCAATCAACGGAAAAAGAGAGCCGCCTTTTGATTGTAAGTAACTCATCTTTTTTCAAATTTAAACTGAAAAGTTCAGTCACAAATGTGAAAAAATCTGCCAAAAAATGTCTACGTCTCTTATGTCTTCAGTCCCAGTCCAGTCCAGGTCTCCTACTCCTTCAGTTCGGGTCCGGGTAAAAAAGTCTCCCAGTCCGGACTTGGACTTGCCCATCATGTCAAAACTTCAAACAAGCCTATACTCTTAGTCGATTTGATAAGTTTTTTTAAAATTATTTACCTTTTTACTGTTTCTCATATAGTACTATTTACTTTAAGATGAATGTATTGTACATTGGACTGTTCAAGGTTCTACTCAAGTTAAGTTATGTATTAATCGTTCCGAACGTTAAATCATCCTTATCGATAAGAATCGATGAAAACGAATTATTTTTCATGAATATTCCAATAAGCCAATAGAAAACTGATTTTTCTGTTTGATGACTACTTGAGTAGCTCAATAGGCTGTACCGGCAGAAAAAAACTTGATTTTCTCAGAAAGAAATATCAATTATTTGTCCGAGACTCTTTTTTGACAGTGTTCGACGCTTGTACAAAGATATCACCGTCAACAACTCAATGGGATAGTTCATCTCTTATCTACTCGGCAAATTTAGCTCCTCTTTCTGTTTTCCGACCAAAAACATTTTAAGCAAGTGTCAAAAAAACAATATATATATATTTCAAATAACGTCTAATTACAAAACAACAACAGCAAGCACAGCAGATAAACAAAGTAGCTTAAAACGCGACTATTAAAATTTGTCGGACAGCCAAAAACACCATCACATAAAGCAAGAAAATGTTCAGTACATATATAGTACCATAGTTTGAATCAATTTCATCTTGTTTTTCATAGATAATACAAAATATTATTCATATAAATAATATATAAATATTTTTCATATAGATAATAGATATAACTCCTGATAATGCTTTTTTAACGTTATCTAATTTGTATGCATCCCTAACACATAGATTTAATAGGCGATCGACACAGCAGAACCAGTCTGAAAGCAGAGAATTCAGAAATGTGGTAAAAAAAAAATATGGAATCAAGCGACAGATAATTTACCTTTTCCAAAATCTGTGACAACTTTAACCATATCTGCTGCATTATCTGATACTAAGCAAACAATTTTCTAAAACTAACTAATCAGTGCATAATACTTCAAGATGCTTCCCTTCGTTTGCATAAGCATGCACACGTATGATCGTTAAGAACCGAATCACTTTCGGCTCAGTACAATGTGGAAACTAAGTCATGCGTCAGATTTTAACTGTTTTCTTCTATACATTTATTAGATTACACAAGAAAAATTTTAAAAACACCTGTACACGAATCAGTTTAAATGTATGTTAAAAATAAAAGAAGAACAAGATTGAGCACAATGCACTAAATATTGACACAAAAATTAAAGTGAGTCTAAAAAATGCTGATAAATAGCTTGTAAACGTGGACTTTCAATAATTGACGATGGTAGTAAATCATTCACAAAAAGACATACTGCAAGTTATGTTAATTGCATAACTTGAGAACCATCAAGGACTAAAGAAGAGCTCGGATCATTCTTCTTCGTTGTATCCATGGATTCCTTCGCTGTATGATATTCAATATTATGGTGTAATTTCAGGTGACGAAGCAGTGCAGTTGTAGCTCCTGTTGTACGATTTATAATATTATTACAAAGATTACAAGTAATATCAAATGAATTAGCATTGATAGGTTGTTGAAAGTATGCCCATGCTGAACTTCTTTTTGCAAGTATAATTTTCCTTGTATTAGATACTGTTACAATAGTGTTATTGTGGCAGATGACGCTGGCGAAATCAGACTAATAACAGATGAAGGTGTCGGTGATACTGGTAATGATGGTGGTTTAACAGGAGAAAATGGATTTGTTGGTGTACACAGAAACAAAGACGAAGGACTATTTCAGTTCATTTTAGAAAATATATTTATATTAAACCATTCGGCCCAATGTTGTTTAATCTATATAAATGTGAAATTCGACTTGAATAATTATATTTAGTTAATTTTACAACCGCTTTGTAGTTACTAGATACTCAGGCAGATTCATTTCTGAAAGATTCAAAAGAAGATACCACGACCGATTTCGACCTTTCTCAAGGGTATCATAGATGGTTTCCTTCGAGAAAAACAGAGTTAAGGCACGACAAGCAACACAAACTCCGTCCACACCGTATGAGGGTGTTACTATTCCTTGTTCTTATCGAACAAAGAACGATAACTTTCACACGACGAGAGCGAAGCACGATATCACTGT